TTTTTTTAAAAAATCATATAATTTTTTTTAAAAAAATTATGAATGAATGGAAACAGTATATTTTTATTATATAATTCAATTTATTTTTAAATTTCTCATACTAAAAAAAATATATATTATACATAACCGCACTCCCTTACCCTAGGGTCCTACCTCTGCCACCGGCTTCAACGGTTTATTATCTACTGATTTTTTGTGTTGTTAAGGTTTCAAGGTAGCAAAGCAGATAGTTGGATGTTCTTTATAAGGGACCTACAAGTTTTAAAATTTTACTTCTATATGTTGATATTTTACTCAGTGCTTCCAATATAGTTTTGCTCTCTCAATTGCTCTGTGTCTCAATTGCTAATGCTAAACAGCCTTAGACTTTGCTTTCTGATGGTCCATTAGAATAATTTTAGGCCCAAAGTCTTTCTCTGTACATGGGTTGGCAATTAACATTGATTTGTTCAGCTTTCTTTAGAAGGCTAAGCCCACCCCAATACATATCTCTATATTATTATTTTATTTTAATATTATATATTTATAATCAAAAGGCCAAAGTCTGTTCTCTGTAACATGGGGTTGGCAATTACATTGATTTGGTTCAGCTTTTCTTTAGGAAGGCCTAAGCCACCGCAATACATGATCTCTATATTATGTATTCTATTTAATATTATAATATTTATAATCTATATCTATATATTATATATAATATATATATGAAATATATTTGTTAAGATATAATGAAATATATTTGTTAAGTTATATTATAGAATTGTACATATATATTTATAATGAATTTTAGATAGACGAGGATATAAATTAAATTGAAATGTGTGTGTATATACATACTGCTGTTTTATTAATGAACCGTTATATTCACATTAATTTTGTATGGAATTTTATTTTAACATTATAAAAATCTAAATAATATATAAGATTAAAAAATATAATCAATATTTAATATTAAAAAGTAAAAATAAATATAAATAATAAATAAAAATGAGCAATGACATAAAAAATTAAACGAGTACGAATAATGAGATAGTCAATGTGCAACGCACATCATACATATAAATATGGGAATAAGATGAAACATAGTTAAATTTATAGATTTATAAAAATATTTCTGAAGATTTTAATTTTATTGGTTAAAATAATAAAAATAATTATTTTAATTAAACTGATTGTAATTATTTCCTATTTAAAATTTATATTTTATTGATTATTTGTTAAAAAATTTAAATTAATAGAGGATTATATAAAAAAAATTTAAATCATGAATATAAAAAGTATAAAAAAGCGTGTAATACACTTATGACTAAATTAATATGGAAAAAGAGAAGGATAAAAAACTATAATAGACAATGGTTCATTAGGACATTATTTATATATATATGACATCTATTATTTAATTTATAAGATAAAAAAATTATATTACTACAAAGGCATTGCTAATGCTACCCGTTGTTCAACGGGGCATTAGACATGCTAGACTTATAAGTTTGAAGAAGAATGGATATTACATAATGGTGGATGCGTCATGCATCGGAATCTGCACTAGCAATATTGAATAATTTTGATTGGGCCTTCTGCAAATCATAAATTCTATCCCATACCGTGTACGCACCGTGTGCCGTGTGGACTTTATCGCGAAAATCACCCGTTCTCTTTTAAGATATTCCTGTCTGAGGTAGGCACGCTATTTTAGATTATCATTGACGTTGATGTAAATTGTTTTTATTTAATTGTTTTGTTAGAAAAATGAAAAGATGTTTTAAAAAATAATTTCTAATGTTTATTTTGGATTGTTAAATTGAGATTAATTAAAAAAATGAACAGATATTATTTACATTCGATTTTTAGAGTTTTTTAAATATTTATTACTCTGCAATAATTAGTTGTATATTAAATTATGAACGAAAAAAAAAAAAGACCTTTTAATGGATGTAAGTATTTATTACTCTCTAATAATTGACTATATATTAAATTATGGACTAAAAAAAAAAAGTTAAAAGAGGACGTAAAAGATGTAAACAATTCCTCCTTAATCTGGCTAAGGCCGGGCTTTTTAGGTCAGTGAGGAAGGCATTGGCGCACAAAGAAGCTTCTAGAGGTACCTAGAAGCTTATGTAGGTAGTAGAGTAATTTGAATAAGAATATTTTAATCCAAATCGAAATTTGGAATCAAATACTGGAATGGAATGGAATGGAATTTTGGAATATAAAATTTAAAATAAAATATATTTTTTATTAGTATATAGAATATGGAATAAAAAAAAAATTCATATTCCAATTCATATTGCCCAACTTTTATTTTATTATTTTATTTAGTTTATAGTTATAAATTTTAAAATAAAATACTAAATTAAAGATTAGAATAAAATATCTTTAATTGTTCGTATTTTTTAAGAAAACTTTTATTTGATTTTAAAACTCTATAACTTAATAGAATATTTTAATCCTAACTCTAATTAGTAATTAATATATACTATGTGTTTGAATATTCATATATACTTTCTTGGATTTAAATTTATGATTTTAGTTATAATGTCTTACTTTTTATTAGATTATATGAGTTAAAAATGTTTTAATATGCTTAGACCTAATGCCCATAACTCCATAATTAGTAATTAATATATACTATGTGTAATTGAATATTTCATTTATATTACTTTCTGTGGATTTAAATTTATGGATTTTAGTTATAATTGTTTTCTTTAACTTTTTATTAATTATTGAGTTAAAAAATGTTTTTAATATGGCTTAGGACTCTTATATACCTACTCACTACCTACTACATATATATATATAAGTAATAAATAAATCCCAATATATATATAATATATATATAATATATTGGTGGATTTTTGCAACTTTTTAATGCGAATTGCGTGACTATATAATATTGCTAATCCTAATATATTACTTTTTGTTGGATTTTAATTTAATAATCTAATTTTACTAATTATTTAATTTTTGTTAATTATCATGAATTGAATCATTAAATGGATTTAAGGTGGAAGCATTATACTCTAGCTATCGTACGAAGACAGTGAAGATTGAAGGCCATACTTTTGAAGTTTTAATTATAAGTGATATTAATTATTATTCTTTATAAAAAATTTTAAAGGTATTTTATATCTTTTATTTTGTAGTAATATATAAATAAGAAACGTGGTGGAAGGTTGATTATTTCTTATTAAATTTATTAAATTGGTTTAACAGTCTTAAGAAACAAAATGTCCAATTGGTATAAATTGTTTAGATTGTGGCATTCAGTGGTTTATAGGAATTCGAATCGCAACTGAAATCAATAAAAATGAATATGAAATAAGAGAAATATTAAATTCGTAAAAAAATAATTTGAGAATAGGAATACAATAGCAAATTTTCAAAATATTTTGAAATGAAATTGGATACGATGGTTGATTCATATATCTAATAACCATTTGAAAAGTTACACTCCTATCTGAGAGGGGCTTGGTGTTGTATGTAAGTGGGTGGATTGAACAATAAGATTTTTAAAATTTAATGTCTGAATAAATTAGACAGTCAACCAACCGCTCACGTAGTCTATTCCATTATTGACACTATTTAACTATAGCTCAAATTATTAGCCTATCGAGATGCTCCTCTAAACAGTGAAGAATGGAAAAAATAAAATCTTAATTATGTTGATTTGTTGTTGACTAAAATATTTAGTAAGATTTAATTTGTTAGGAATAAGTCACACCGTGAGGGAATAGGAAATAATATTGTTTGTCCCATATAAATTCTGTATAAAAGCAAAAAAATTTTGATTTGCTGAAAATTTAAAAATATTTTCTTTCAACGGAAATCGTTAACATACTGGCGGGCTCGGACACAATTACCACGTAACTATATATATTGCTATATCCTAATATATTACTTTTGTTGATTTTAATAATAATATTATTACTAATTATTAATTTGTTAATTATATGAATTGAATCATTAAATGTTAAGGGTGAAGTATACCTACTATCTACAAACATGTAAGATTAAATATTTTGAATTTTAATTATAAGTGATATTAATTTATTATTCTAAAAAATTTAATTATATCTTTTTATTTTGTATATATAAAAAAACGGTGATTATTTCTTATTAAATTTAAAATTTTACATCTTAAAAAATGTTATAATTGTTAGATTTGCATTCATGGTTATAGAATTTCGAACCACTGAATTTCAATAAAATGATATGAAATAAAATATTAAATTCTAAAAAAATATTTGAAATAGAATACAATGCAATTTCAAAATATTTTGAAATGAAATTGGAACGATGGTTATTCAATTCTATACCATTTGAAGTACACTCCTATCTGGAGGGGCTTGGTGTTGTATTGTAAGTGGTGGATTGACAATAGATTTTTAAAATTTAATGTCTATAAATAGACAGTCAACCAACCGCTCACGTGGTTTATTCCATATGACACATTAACTATAGTCAATATTAGCCTTCGAGATGCTCTAAACCAGAAAATGGAAAAATAACTTAATTATGTTGATTTTGTTGTTTGCTAAAATATTTTAGTAATATTTATTTTTAGAATAAATTCACATGGGAATAGGAAATAATATTTTGTCTATAATTCTTATAAAGAAAAAAATTTTGATTTGCTGAATTTAAAAAATATTTTTTTCTTTCAACGGAGTTAACCAACTGCGCCGGCGTAACACTATTTTGTCGTAACGCAACCATGTGGACTGTCACTGACTGATAGTTACAACTGGCCCCACCACGAATTTTCAAATGGGTTAAAAGGAGAAGTGCTTAATCTCTAAGCTTTCTGTACCCGTGATAACGCTCCGTCCAGGTCAGTCTTCTGTCTAAATTAATTCGACCAAAATGCCCTCCTACAAGATCTTTGTTATGTGTCTACATCCTGAAATGTCCAAAATAAGTGAGGACAATATGGTAATGAAAGTATATCTAGAAGGAACATTCTCCGGAGGGCCATTAATTCTGCGACCTATATATGTACATAGCCTCGGCCATATCTCCGGAAGGAACCACATAATTCAGTCTTTCAGCAGCACTTCAATTTTCTTTTCTATTCGTTGCAAATGGCTTCCCGTTACGAGGTGGAGGTGACAATCACATCGGCCAAGGACCTAAAGAACGTCAATTGGCGAAACGGTCGGCTCAGGCCGTACGCTGTCGTTTGGGTTGATCCAGAACACAAATGCTCAACCAGAGTCGACGAGGAAGGCGACATGAATCCTTTTTGGGATCAGACTCTTGTTATTCCCTTGCCACCCGGTCCAATCGAAGATCACACCCTTTACATCGACATCGTCCACGCCGGCCGTGAGGAAGACACCAAGCCCCTCATCGGCTCCGCTCGGCTGAAACTCGTCGACGTTCTCGATGATGTTGGGTTCGGTGAACGAACCGTTCGCAGTCTCCAGCTGAAGCGTCCCTCCGGTAGGCCCCAAGGTAAACTTGATGTTGCAGTTACGATCAGACAGCCTCGTTATCGCGCGCCTGATCCATCCTATGCTCCACCTTACGGTGTCCCACCACCATCAGCGTCCAGAGATTATGCTTATGGAACTCCATACTCCGCCGCACCACCACCACCAAATCCATACTACACAGCAGCCCCGCCCAGTGGATATCCGTACGGTGGGTACAACGCGCCACCGCAACCAGGGCCAAGTTACGGTTACGGATACAATTACGGTAGTTCGCAGCAGCCCGTTTATGCGGAGGGGGAAAAGAAAAGCAAGTTTGGTGGAATGGGAACGGGATTGGCTGTGGGTGCGGTAGCAGGGGTATTAGGTGGACTCGCAATAGCGGAGGGCGTTGATGCGCTGGAAGACCATATTGCTGAAGAGGCAGCAGAAAGGGTTGAGGATGATCTTGGTTATGATGGTGATGACTTCTAGAGTGCGGTATATGATCAAAATGGGACCATCTTATTTCGTTATCAATGTCTTTGAGTTTAAGTTTATCATTTTCCCTTCCAGAAATATCAGGGAATGTTAAAAAAATCCCAGAGATCTTCCTGTTCTACTTGAATTGATCAATTGGAGAAGGCTTAGATTTTGTTTAATACTGTACCTCTCTGGGATAAGATTATCTAGACGTCAGTTAGTTATTGTTGGGTATTTTAGTATTGAAAGTGTGTCGAAAGCATGCCATCTATTCTGGAATATTCATGTCAATAACTCTATGGTCTCTCTGCATTCAAAATGCTAGGAGATACATGATGCATATAAAATATTCTCACTCATCACCTAATTTCTTAGAATTCTATGATCATGGGGATTTCATATCATGAATAAATGAAGTTATATTAGACATGTTTTCGGCTATATTACATTACTGCAAGGTCCGTGCAGGGGGCAATTTTCATACTAAGGCTCGAACTCAAAGATTTTTTATCAAGGGGAATGGAGTCCTAACAATTCCAATCCCAACCAATATTGGTATATTGTATTTCTTCATGACTTGCTTAACATAACCTAAATGTTTTTGAAGCATACTATGATCTGGAACTTGTCCAAATTCTGTTACCATTGTAGATCTTTTCAGTATGTGCCCATGCAGAGTTAATCAGTAAAGGATGGGAGTTGCTTGGAGCTCAGATTCGTGTTATTAATGTTTCTTGGATGCGTGTAATACAAAAGTCAAGAAAAATTAATACACTAACCTTTTCTTTTCGTTGAATATTCTTGCCTCTACTACATTACTATTGCTATATTTAGAGAGATTCAATGAAATGAAATAGGAAGAATTGAAAAATTCCACTAATCAGGAAATATTTTAGCTAATTTTTTTCTCTTCAAATGAAACATAGGAAATCTTTACAGAAAAACACAAATCAATTACTCCAGCAAGAGTGTTAACAACTTGAGTTGTTGATCTCTTAGCAAAAGTAAAGATTGTCCTTAATCCTCCTTTTATTGCCCAAGACAGGTTAACATGTTGGAAAAGCATGGGGAAATAGAGAATTGGGGTAAAATAACAGAAATTTCACAGGCTCTTCCAAACAAAACATGGTGTAAATATGGCTGCGAGCTAAGTTACAAAAGAAATTTGAGGCAAGCTAACAAATCTCCGTGCTACCGAGTAGTAATGTGAATATCAGATTTCGATACAAAAATGGTTGTCTATAACAGCAATCTTCTGATAATCGATCAACGTTTAACCCATTGAAAGCTCTTTCTTGCTTTTGCCTTTCCTGGTTTTTTTCTTTCAACCACACGTGGATCCCGCGTCAAGAAACCAGCTGATAAAGACATAAATGCACACATAATGAATATACAGTGCCATAAGTTAATTCAAACAGAAATACCCATTACAAGCAAACCACTAATTTAATGCCAGCCAAGCTTACAATCAGAATGAGAGAGTTACCATCATCCACAACTCAAAAGCTACATTTACATATACATTACTCACTTCAACCAAGAAAAATTAAGTGGAATTTTTTGCTAAATCTGTAACAATATAGTAAGGGGTGATATGCATGAAATGCAATTAAAAAAAGATTTTTGTTAGGGTTGTACCATTTCTTAGGGGAGGACGTAAATCTGGTTCCCAACTTTGTAAGGCCCTGCTGATCCCCAGCTGGATAGCTCCAACTTGACCTATCACCATGAAAAAATTGAATTGTACCAATATCATCTAAAAATAGTAAAAAATGGGTAAATGCGATCAAGCATAGCTCAAAAGAAATTTCAAATATTAGATTATAATTTTGCATGAGAGATAGTTCAGTAATGCTGATATTAATGGCCAAAAAGAATACAATAGTTCTTTTAAATACATTGCTAAAGCAAAACAATAAAGCTGATATAATCGGAGAACCAAGAGCCTCCCTGCATTGTAAAAAATCTACCCTAGCTAGTCCAAGCAGGCTTGCCAAGTTGAATAGACAATCTTAGAGTAGCAAAGTGGCAAAGTCTTTAAAACTAGCATATTAAACCTAATAAAGTAAAAAAAATATTATAAGCAGAACATAAAGGAAACTGAGATTGTAGTAAACCACATTATCATCACTTGTAGGTGATTTTAAACAATAACATGAACCCATCTTGACTTCTTCAAAGACCAACAAGTTCCTCCTTGCAACCATGTGATCGATGGAAGGAAAGAATGCTATCTGCTTAAAACTTCTAGCACCATCACAAAGTTCTAAATTTACTAATTAAGTTTGAAAAAGAATTGTAATCTATGGCGCATGTGCAGAAGAAAATGAATATTTCCATGTGCAGGAACAACTCAAACCAGTAACAATTTTATTCAAAAAAACTTTCATGTTTTGAAGAAACACCAAACAATATTATCCATGAGAAAGGTTCTCAACAAACATTGAACAATAATCCAACCAGAATAATTAGTATTTCTAAAGGAATCCATAAAAGTTGGCAAAAAGTAGGAAGTTGGAATCAAGGGGATTGCATTCTGACTCCATGTGATCTTCAAGAATAAGTTGAAACTACAAATTATAAGGTATAAACCTCTCCTAAAACCGTAGGTGCGAAAGGTTAACAGGGACATTAAGGACAACAAAATTAATGATACAAGTGCAACTATAAATGCTCAATCTTACCTGAAACACCACCTCCTTTAACCGTACAATTGACATCCCAGAGACCCAAAGTCTTTGTCTCAGAAAAGGGTCGCAACAGGGCAGCACGATGATCAAGCATTGGAAAATAGACATCAAATTCTTTATCATTAACTGAGAATTTTCCACTGCCTGGCTGAACCCAAACACGAGCCACGCTACACTTCCTTCTTCCTGTTCCATAAGCTCTTCCTTTCTCATCTACTTGTCTTACTCTAGCTTTTGCTACTTCCTCCTGCTTCTGACGCTCTATTTCTGCCCTTGTAGATTTTCTTGTGCTCTTTCCATAACGCATGTCCTCTATTTCACTTAGAGGAGGCAAACCCTCAACCCCTTCAAAATCCTTCAGGGCAATCAGACTGTCCAGCATAGCATCTGTGATTCCGGATGCTGCAATTAGGTCACCAAATGCATGATTTGGACCTGCAACGAGACATGTTGGACCAATACAACCTTCATAGAAAAAAAATTGCTACTAGACAGATCAAAGAATGAATCAACAATGATGAATTCTTTTTGCATTTTCGATATAATACAGAGCATATAGTTGTTTAAATAAATCAAATTGCGACTAAAACAAAATAATAGAAAATGTTACCTTTAAGAACAGCAGTGAGCTCCTCCTCCTCTTTCTCGAGCATTTTCTGCTCTTCACTGTCCCCACTCTTCACATGCACAAGAGTTTCACTCCCAGTTTCACTAGCATGCGATACAATCTCTCCAATATCGAACACATTATCTTTCTCCTCTTCCTTTTCATCTAAATTCCACACCTCGTACCCCTCCGATGTTAGCCACTCATTGTTACCATCACCGCCATTCCTCTTCCCATACTCCTTATCATCTGCCTCAAATATATCTTGGTCATCATTGCTGTCATTCTCCTTCAACCATGAATCTTCCTCAGCGGGAGGAGAATCAGTAATTCCAACAAGGTCGTTGGCGGAACCTTCAGTGAAAAATGAGTTGAAATTTTCATCACTTTCTGGAGAAAGTTTCCATATGTTAGAGGTCGATTGGCCTTTGCTGCTGTTATTATTATTGTTGTTACTATTATTTGTGGAAAATGATCTGAGAAGGAGATTCAAATTGGAGTTCTGAGGTGAGGGGGGATAGAAATGGGATTTTGAAGAAAGATTGTAAAAGAGACGGAAATGGGAGGGTTTAGGGAGGAGACGAGAAAGCATTGTTGAGATTGGAAGCAAAAAAAAGTGTATGGGTATTTTGAGTTCAGTAGGGTTTTAGATTTGGTGAATATAGAGTCCAATCCAGTTCAATTTGACGAACCGCTAGATCAGTTGGTTTTAGGCCATGGGATGGTAAATAAAAGCTTAGATACAATTAGTAGTTAGGACCATCGCAGCAAGTTAAAAGCAACTGTAAAAAAAATAATAATTAAAAAAAAGAAAACCATAAAACAGACGATCATTGATCAGAGAAAATCCAAAGACTTGTACCCAAAACAAAGCAACTTTTCATTTTTCTTTGGGTAGCAAATACTTCAATTAAAAAATCACTGAATTCAAAACCAACAAATGTAACTTTTACTTCATTTCCTCTCTCCTTTTCTTTTAATAATCCTACCAGAAAATCAAATACTCCACTCACCTGATAAGGCTCCTATCCCATTTGATTTCTCTTCCCAAGCTCTTGACATCAGTTAAGACATTTCCCAAATGTAACTAAATTATTCCCGAGGAAAGACTAAATGAGCAATTATAATTCTTTTACTACTTGAATTTACCCTGGGCCTAAGTAACCCAACCTATTCAACTTAATGATCTATATCTATTTATTAGAAATTATTTAATTCTATTTCTACTCAAGGTAGCAAAATTCCGGCAGCATCTCTATATTTTGGGCCTCCATCTATATAAGAAAAGGCTCATACAATATTCACAATCATATAGCCACACATCGGGCAAACTAGTCACATTACCCCATCCACCATTAGCATATCACATCACCACATCCAAACCATATCAACACACTTTCATTACTAAATCAAAATTAACATTTCAATCCATTTAATAGAAGATTAAATAACTATACTTCTCAACTGTTTTAGTTCTTGTACTGTGCTTCAACAATTTGGGGTTACAAGTATTTCTATGTCTCTAGTTCATAAATTTGAGGCTTCACAGTTAACTCAACGACCAATTCCCGATAAGAAAATATATTTACATTCATTCACTACTCATTTAACTGTTAAGCTATAGTTAATGAGTGAGTATTTAAATCTTATAGTTAAAGTTTCAATTTAATTTCTTAAATTATTATTTTCCAATTTCTCAAAAGGATTGGTTATCCCTAGGCCTTTAAACTTTTTCTTAAACATTATGTTCCATACCCTTAACACTGAAGATGACCATTAAAATATCTATTTCTGCCAGCTTCCGACTTTAAAACTTACTTATCTATTTGCACGGCTATGTAATTAGGGTATCAAATGGTTCGATTCGGAAAACGAATTATATATTCAAAATCCACACGTAAAATACAATTTTCTGACTGCAAATATTTTCAGGTCACCGGAAACCACCTCCGGCAATCGGCAGGCCGCTGCCTGCGGTTGCCGGAAAACTCCATCCACAACAATTCTTGAAATTTCTGTCATTGCTCCCCAAATTTAACGGGAAATCTAATCCAAACTCAGTTTCACAAACTATTACAATTTTTTTCATTTTTTGCCAAATTCCTAAAGTTTCCATTCCTTAATATCAGAATGTTTCAAATCTTTAATCAAAAGCATATATAAACAAAGAAACTCAATTTAAAGTGTTTAAGGTTGATATTAAGTTACCTGATTGTAGGGAGTCGCTAGAAAATGGGAAGGTTTGGCCGAACAGCGGCTGTCTTCACTTCTCCCTCGAATCGCATGATGGAAAGGCCAAAAGACAGAAAGAACAGAACCGGTGATGGTGTGGAGACCAAGAATGGTAGGAAGGTGGCCTGCGTTACACTTCTTGGCCGTTGATCGGCAGCAAAATGGTGTGAACAGCGGCAGAAGGAAATTCGCCCGATCAAGGAGAAAAATAAAGAGCTGGATCGAGTGGAAGGACAGAGGAGTTCAGCTGGAATCGGGGCTGGGAGGGAAGGGAAACCGATCGCTGATCCTTGACCGGAATACAGCCGGAGATGATGGCTGTGGTGGTTGCGCTGGCTTGGATGTGGGATCGGAGAGACGGAGGAAATAAAAGTGTTAGGTTTTGATTGTTTAGTCGGCTGAGATTACTTTCCTGATCTAACGGCTGAGATTACTTCGGTTTGATTCATAGAAGCTTTTTAGGTTTCGAGCTGGTTCGGTTCATGGTTTGGTTTAGTTCAAAAATCATTTGAATCCCAGTCTCCTATGCTTTTACTCTTTGTTTGGACGCAGGGAGAGAATGATCAATAAAATAAGGTATAGTAAAGTATGGTAAGGGAAAATATAGTAAATATTTTTTTTTTATAAATTGCCCCTTGAATTTTAACAAATAACCTAAGACACCCTCAACTTTGTAAGGTCATGCACTTGATATTTAAAATTATGCACCAAATAAACACCTTTTTCACTCTAGTAGCGCGCGTGTATGTTTAATCTCAGAGCAGGGCATGAATGAAATGAAAGTATGCTAATGTAGATAAAGAATAATGACTTGGACGAAACGGCATTGTTGGGATAAATTTATTCCCTCTCTTTTTACAACTGCTTTCTCCCTCGTTTTTCAACATGTTAAATTAGGGTTTGAGCTTAAAAATCCCATTCTGCGATCTTTCTCTCCCGCTTAATGCGAAATTGATTCTCTATGTACATGCTTGAAGAATGATGGAAATCCCAGCTGATTATATCGTTCCCAATTGCTATTGTCATCAAACAACAGTGTTGAAGGTGTCTTGGACTGAGGTGAATCTTGGTAGAAGATTTTGTGGCTGTAGAAAATTTAGGATATGTGAAAACTACATTATGTTTGCTCTTTTTTTTTATTTCGTTTAATATGTGTGTTTTTATTGGTTTCAGATGCTTGGTGAGTGCAATTTCATGATCCACCAATGCCAAATCATATTCAGCATGTGATTTTAGGACTGCTTAGAAGAATTAGAGAATATGAAGAACATAGGAAGATGACAAATGCAATGTGGTCGAGGATGGTTGTTGGGTTCTATATTTTGTTTGTTATTGTAACAATTAGAGAAGTGATTAGAGGTTGATGATGGATTGTTGATGTTGTTGTAGATGGAAAATGAGGTCTAATATTTTGATACTTTTTTTAACCCAATAAGAGTTGTAATGTTAGTATGAAGAATGCTTATTTTGGTAGTTTATTATTGTGTAGCTCATGTTGAAGTAATTAACAATTAATATATTTTAATTTTCCATCAAAGATGAAGCTTGTTCTTATTCATTTATTTGTGCAGGTCTAATTGTTCAAGAATTCAATCTGATTCTTTTAAATTTCAATAAGTTAAGCTAATATATGACAAAATAGTTGGAAGCAAAATTGCAATAATTAAAATGCATCATTAATATTTCAAATTGAGATTCGATTACTGAAGATGATAATTGTTCATAATTTCTAAAAAATAGATAACAAAAGTGGGGTTCCATTTTGCAGACATAACACAAATTGCTTCTGTTTAGACCAAAAAGATGTCATACGTTTTGACATTTCTCAAAATACAATTATAATTACCAAAACATTCATAAATACAAAAACAGAAGCAGAAATCCTAGTTTAATTTCCTCCATTACCACTTTGTTGTGTTGGCCTATTACTGCTTCATGGAGCTTGGCCTGAAGCATTTGTTCATCTTTCTATTTGAGGCTGTGAAGTTGACTCTCTTTGTCACTGCATGTCAAGTCTCTGCTGCTAGAGTTGCTTGGCAGTGACAATATTTTTACCCTTCCATTTCAATCCTGGAGGTTTGAAGCCAATGTCAATAGTAACAACTGCAGAGCTCTTCAAATTGGTAGGGTTGGTGATAATCCTTGATGCACTGCTGATTGAAGATTGAAATGAACACCATAATTCATTACTTTATTTGATTGAAGCTTGTCTTATGCATTATTTGGTGGCAGGGTTCGAATTGTTCAAGAATTGTCAATCTGATTCTTTTAAATTTCAATAAGTTAAGCTAATATAATGACAAAAATAGTGTGGAAGCAAATTGCAATAATAAAAATGCATCATTAAAGATTTCAAATTGAGAATATCGATTACTGAAGATGATAATTGTTCATAATTCTAAAAAATAGATAACAAAAAGTGGGGGTTCCATTTGCAGACAGAACATAATACAACAAATTGCCTTCTGTTTAGACCAATAAAAAGATGTCATACGTGTTTGACAATTTCTCCAAAAATACAAATTATTAATATACCAAAACATTCATTAAATACAAAAAACAAGGAAGCAGAAATCTAGTTTAATTTCCTCCAATTACCAACTTGTGTGTTGGGCCTAGTACTGCCTTCATGGAGCTTGCCTGAAGCATGTGTTCATTCTTTTCTTATTTGAGGCTGTGCAACGTTGACTCTTCTTTTGTCACTGCAAGCAGAAATCCTAGTTTAATTTCCTCCATTACCACTTTGTTGTGTTGGCCTATTACTGCTTCATGGAGCTTGGCCTGAAGCATTTGTTCATCTTTCTATTTGAGGCTGTGAAGTTGACTCTCTTTGTCACTGCATGTCAAGTCTCTGCTGCTAGAGTTGCTTGGCAGTGACAATATTTTTACCCTTCCATTTCAATCCTGGAGGTTTGAAGCCAATGTCAATAGTAACAACTGCAGAGCTCTTCAAATTGGTAGGGTTGGTGATAATCCTTGATGCACTGCTGATTGAAGATTGAAATGAACACCATAATTCATTACTTTATTTCATCCTCATTAAGAGTAAATGAAAGAATTGCAGTTGGGCATATTACATAATACCTGGTATATTGTCATTCTAGTAGTCTCATTGACATAAACACCAATTTCCTTAGGAGTAGCTTGCCTCTTAGCAACAAAAGCCATTATTTCTCTAGCATATCTCTTACTGGTTGTAGTTGTTGATGAGCCTCCATTATATCCTCTTCCCCTGCCTCTACCTATAAGAGTAGTTACAGCCACATTTCCAGCATTGGTATGATGCATCGCGTTACCTAAGAGAAATGAGTAGAGAGACTCATATACTTCAATGGGCGCACATATTTCACCACATAAAGACTCAAATACTCAAATTTCCATTTCAATACCAAATTTGCAATACAAGTCAGCATCTTTTCCAATAGAAATAAAACTGGCATATGATAATAGGAAAAAAAAAAAGATTGCCTGTTGGAGTGTTGTTGGGGCTCTGGAAGGTGCTGTAGCAATGTCAATTCCACTTGAAGTTGCTCTGCTTCCACTCCCAGCCACATTTGCATTGTTTTGACTACTGGATCCATGACAGTTAGTGTTTGCTATTCTAGCATTCCTCTTAAATGATTTTAGATTGCTTCTACCTGTTGAAAATTTACAATTTCTAATTAACAAACAAAATCTGTCTAAAAAGGAAATAAAAAAAAACTCAGTAAAAACAAAAGCCAGACGCCCGCTGGAGTGCTGATGGGTGGTGCACTGCTAGTGCCTATGGAACTTGTATATTCTCTAGCTACCAGCAATATTTGCATTATTGTGACTGTTGGATCCATGATAGACCGTGCTTGGTGTTCTAGCAGTCCTCTTACATGATCTCATATTGCTTCTACATATTCAACATATACAAAACACACTTCAGGACATAGCTATTTTATAGATAATAGATGACATTCAATAACACAACACATTTGCAAAAATAAAAAATTTGAGAAGCCAAATATAATGCCTCCTAGATGTTGATGGGTGGTGCATTAGTGCCTATGCTTATGCCATTTGACTGTTGGCTAAGATGGGGTTCTGATTGCACTTGCGACTGTGTTTCAGTATTCTGCAATTAAGCAATTTAGTTAGAAACAATAGTTACATTTAAATACCCATTACAAGTGTATTAAACTTATTAAGTTGCACATGAGTTGAACTTGTTCTCTTCTATGGGCAGCCTCTTTTGTATGTCCAGATCCTTTGCATAAGCCACAAGTCATTGACACACATTTCTTTGATATTTTTTCAATCTTTTTCCTTGGTTCATCCTTATCCCTTCTCTTGGTTATCTTTTTTTACCATGATTTGCCTTTTGGGGTTCTAGGAGTAATATAACAGGATTTGTTGATTTAGGCCATATCTTCATGCCTTTAACAGTTTGTATGTTATATTTGTAGGCTTTCAAGCATTGCTTCTTTCTATACCAAATAGCAACATAATTTTTCGGATCCAATTTTTTGTGAAATATGGCACAAATGGCATGCTGACATGCGATTCCTTTCAATTCCTATGACCTATAAGTGCAAAGCATCTTTCTTAAACAAGCTGTGTGTTAGTATTCTCCTTCCACAATCTCAAATCCACTATCCCCATTCCATCTAGGATGGCAATCCATTGAAAGCTAAAAAAAGTAGAGAATTATTTTTTAGTAAGTTGTTTATAATGTAATTTATCAGTTACAGAACCAGAAATACAAATACAAGCTTTCTCATGTTGTTTATTGTATAAGCAAAAACACATTTTCAACAAATTTGTATCTCTGTTGTGATTTGGTTACAAAATTAATAGAAGTTTGTAGGTCATACAATAATTCATACAACTTCTGCTCAATATCATTTACAAAATGTAAACCACTAACAAACTGGCTATTAATTTCCAATAACTCAGTTACGAATGATTTACGAAGCTTGCAATATAAAACACAAACAATATCATTGCAATTCCAAACTAAAAGAAACATTAACTCATAGGAAAAATAGGGGCATTAGGCAACTTTTGTTTAATAGCAAGTTGCTTATAATGTTGTTTATCAGTTATAGAAACATAAACACAAACACAATCTATCTCATGTTGTTTATTATGTAAGTAAAAACACATTTTCAAAATCACGTTCTCAAAAATACAAGTTTCTACTTCAAAGAAGAGTGCATTGATGAAAATAGCTTGCAAGATAAAGACCACAATTCAATATAATGGACATTTCCAAGTCATAGCGACAAGATATAAAAGAAAAATTTTCAATTTTTGGCATACAATTCATATATCATGCTGAAAATTATAAGTTATAGAAGCACAAAAGCTCAATATTTTGTGATAATATCAAGGAATTATTAGCTACAAAAAGAGAAAATTATAATCGTACCCCCTATGTTTTGTCAAAATAAACTACTTTACCCTTGTCTTTTTGAAAATAGACTGTTATATTCTCGTTTTTTTAGTCTGTTACGCTATCCTCCCATTCCGTCCGTTTTTTTGTGAAACTTAGACGTTAAATGGTCATAAAATGACATTAATGACCTTGAAATGAACGATATCCTCTTTCTCCTCCCCTTCCTCCACACTTTTTATTTAGAAGACTTCATCAATCAACTCATCTTCTCCAACAAATTATTGAACGATCAATTAAGTATCCAACTTGCAATGAACCAAATCTGAAACCAAAGGAAATGAATTAAAAGAGTTATAATATCGCCTTGAAATATGCAAGAGAGAGGCTGATACTCTCATGGATTTGCTGTCGTGTGTGGGCAACGATAAAACTCAAACATATGATAACGATAACAAGAAGATATCACCAATAAGTGCAAGTCCGTAAGCAAGGAGAGAGGAAATAGCTAAAGGAAGAAAATAGCAGTAATTGGGTTTTCATTTTTCATGGCAAATGAAGTGCTCGACTCACATCAATGGCAAATTTTAGTGATATTTCAGAATCCATTAAAAAGCATCATCAAATCCTTCCTCAAATCCTTGTAAATCTAAAGGAAATGGATCAAAAGGGCATATTTCAGTTTCATAAGTGAAAAGATTAGAGCATATCTTGTAAATTTTAAAAAAAAAAAATTATTTTTGAATATGGCACATTCTGGAAGAGAAAGAGAGAAAGGAGAAGAGGATATTTTGGTGAAAAATTTTATTCTCTCTCTTTCGTCAGATTAAACTTTGACTTGTACTCTAAAATCTCAAATATTGGATGAAAAGACAATTTAACGTAACAGACTAAAAATAAGAGGGTCTAATAGTATATTTTTGAAAATACAAGGGTAAAGTAGTTTATTTTGATAAAATATAAAGGTACGATTATAATTTTTCCAATTTAAAAGTTTAATGATTACCTCCAAAAATAATATGCAACCTCCTAAGTCACTTGCTTTGCCAAACTTCTTTAATGAATATTAG